AAAAAGAAAGTGTATCTTGGTATCTGTAACTCAAAGCTAACTGTCACAGCGTAAATATAATTTTGAATTTTTATAATAATGATTTAAAAAAATGAGGATGGGCTACTTTTCAGTTCCTTAAGTTTTATGGGAAGGCAGAAAAAAGTTTGGATATAAAGATGCTGAATTTTAGCATACAGAGCACTATCCTCAGATTCCAGAAAACCCAGAGAAGAAAATAAAGCACATCCCTACCCCATGGCTCTGCAGAGGAAAGACCTTGTGAATCTTGTTTGCAGTTACAGTCTGCATACCTACATACTCAGGAAACAATTCTACAGTCACAATACTGTTATCTCCCAGGAAATTTGGGCTCTGTCAAAAAGTATCGACAATAACTGATTCCTGTGAGTACCTGTAGGGTGTTGTAATCTCTTGTGAAGGGGACCATCAGCTCCCAGAGTGATGAAAAAACCACCAGTGCTGTAAATTCAAGCTTGTAGTTTGTGGCCATGTGTTCAAATAGCATTGTCAAGCCGTGGGCAGCCAGGTGCTTCCGCTGGTATTCCTCAGAGCCCTCGACAGACACAGGTCGGGTCATGGAAAGGGACACATCCATTACCACCACAGTGGGCATGATGGAATAATTCTAGCACTCCCTCTCAGAACAGAGAGCCAGCTACAACCAGAGAAATGCTGTGGAGAAGAAATAAGGTCTTACATATCTTGGGAAGGAAAGGTTTTTTCAATACCATTTGAACTCATTTCCTAGAAATATATGGAGGTGAGCCCCACAGAATTAAAGAAGCCTAGTTCACCGTGAGGGTCTCTCCTGGGTACACCCATTGAGCAGCCAAGACTCTGGGACACTAGATGCAGCAACGCATTAAACTCAGGTAGTCCTTGATCCCACACTTTCTGGTTTTACACAACTTAATAAAGACTCCGACATCAACTCCTTAATTGATTGTGAACACCTCCAGCCATCCTGTGCTATGTACTACCTGACAACTGACTGTTCGTTTTTGCTGCTATCTTGATGAAGACTACAGCATTAGTGCAAGTGTTTAATTCCTTTGTGGCTTGGTGCCTTTGTTTTAGGAAAAGAAAAATTAAAGAATTTGTACGAAAGTTAAAATTTCCCCATGCAAATGTATAAAAGAGCAAAAACATAACAATGGGAGAAAGAAAGAGCTCTTTAAGATCATGGAGTAAGATCAGTGTGGAGAAAATGCCTCTGTTCATCAGAATAACGTTCCCAGACACACAGATAGACTGCTGGCTCTCTCTACATCTGCAGATGCAATAATGTTATAGAGCTATAATAAATGACACAGATTTAGGAAATATTTATGTATAAAGAATGAGTCTTTTAAAAAGCAGTTCACAATACATGTGTGTGTGTGCCTGAATGCATGTGTGTGTGTGTGTGTGTGTGTGTGTGTGTGTGTGTGTGTGTATGTATGTATTACATGTGAATTCATAAAAATCACACTGTAGGCCAGGCATGGTGGCATTGATCCAGGCTTTAATCCAAGCACCTGAGAGGTAGATTTGTGAGTTCCAGGCCAGTTTGGACTACATAGTGGGTTCCAAAACAGCCAGGGCTCTATAGTAAGACTCTATCTCAAATAATAAAAACTTAAAATTACATTGTAAGCCACTGTAATCCTGGCCCTCAGGAGGTGGAGACAGGAGGATCAGAATTCCAAGGTCATTATTAGCTACTGAGGTGCTTGAGGCCAGTGTGAGCTATATGAAACCCTGTCTCAAGAGACTGAACTAAGAAAAATCACATTGCATATATTATACACAATTAGGGCAGATTCAACAGGTTCAAAATTTAGTGTTTACTAATTTAACAAGGGGCAGACTTCCTGTTAGGTACATGCCCAACTATAAATGTGTGACATTCCTTTTCTAAGTAGGTTGTTGGAAACTCAGCACATATTGGGTCTTGGAAACAATGTTATATGTAAGGGTTAGGGACTCAGATCAAACAGGAAAAGCCTTTTTACCACATAATGGCCATAGATACATCTCAAATATTGTAACATCTCATGTATCCAATACCAATAAAGTTAATTCAGAGAAAAGAATTACTTTTTCAGACTCTCCTAGGCATCTAAAATGTTAAGACAGTCTGAAGGGAAATTAAAAGAAAAATTCATTTAGTTTTACTCAGTGTGTGTCTGTGTGAGTGCATGCGACGTGGGAGCAGGATTCAGCAGAATCCAGAGTAGAGTACTGAATTCCCTGGAGGTGGAGTCACAGGTGCTTGGGAGCTGCCTGCCTGATGTGGGTGCTGAGAACTAAAGTCAGGTACTCTAGAAGTGCCGCTCTTAACCCATGAACCACTCCAGCCCCTGAAAGAGAAATTAAACATGCATCCCTCTCTCTGCCTCACTAAACAATGTGTGCTAAACGTAGTCACCCTTTGGGAGATGACATGACCTCACCACCCAGCACATTACTGCCCTGTTTTGCTACATACTAGCATTTTTCTAAGTCCATGCTGCAGAACTCTGTTCTGAAGAGAAGCTCCAAGAAAATTGAGTTCAGAGCTGCATTAACGAGCTAAGGGCAAGGATCACAACAGTTTGCTTACTAATGTCTACTCAGAGTTACATCGGGCACATAGTAGGTGCTCAACAAATATCTAATCATAACTAATGAACTGCTCCTAATAACAACAATCAACATTAATTCATTAGCAAAATACATTATAAAATTTAACTGTGGACACAGAGTTACATTTCCTTTCTTCTATTTTAGCAGAGACACCAGGAATTCCTGCACTTTGTTCAGGTATAGTTTATCTGGCTCTTGTGGTCACATTTATGCATGTAGACCTTTATGCTTTTTAAAAGCTGGAGATCACGGAGAATACTACCCTCACCTCTTAAGAGAATGGGAAAAGGTTTACTCGGATGAGGTATCAACCAGCACTTGCAGCCCATGAAATCTGCTGTTAGCACTGCAATGGGTGACCACAGCTGTCAGTCTGGCCTTCTCTGAAGACACCTGAGAAGCTGGCTCTTTCTCCTGACTGATGCATTTGTGTCAGGACCCAAGTGCACTTCCTCAGCCGTGGCCAACTGGTGGCAATCCAATTTTGTACTCAGATTGTAAGCACTGGGATAAACGAAAGAATGGAATGTTCCTGAAGGTTGGTTCACTCAAGTAGTCTGGACCTAGTTAAAAATTAAAAAAGAAAAGAAAAATTAAACCTCTATCTACTAGCCTAGCATTTTGAGATAACACGGTATTTTTCACTTGGATTGGCTCTGATCTTCAAGTTTCCCCACACAGCCCTCTGCCTTTTCAAATAGGTACCATTTTACAGACAACTAAGGGTCTTCTTTCTCCCGGACAGACTACTCCCGATGATATTCCCTCACCACCTGACCGCTCTAAAAGCCATCAACTATATAGTTAGTTCTACGCTGGAGGGGATAATTAGCCCGCTCGCTGCATTTCGTTCTCAAGAGTCTCGCTCCCAAAACTTGATTCCACCTCGGTTTTCCTGTCACCCTGACTTGCCCTATGAGTTCCTGAGTTCTCAGGTGATCATATCTCTGAATGAACGGCCGGAAACACAGCATCTTTCATATGAATTGCAACTTGGAGAATAGACTTTTACCTTTAAAACGAGCCCAAAACATGTGTTGGGGAAAGAGGAGACGAAACTCCCCGGGGCCAGGGACGGAAGTCTGTCAGGGGAAGAGGGAACACAGGAGGCTTGGCCCCGGCGCGAAATCCCGCTGTTTCCCAGAGCCGCGCCGAAGCCCCGGGCCACACGGAAGGGAGGCCGGGAGCAGGCCCTGGAGCCGGCGCCCAGAGACGGCCACCCCGCGGGGACGGCAGCGGAGGCCGGTCCCCCGCCCGCTGCTGCTTCTCCTTCACGCCTTCCCCCGTAACCCCAACCAGCAACGACACACAAGCCTCCCGCCGCTGCTTCCCGGACTTACCCGGAGCTCATCGTCAGCCTCGGTCCCTCCGCCTAAACCTTCCGCCCGCGCGCCACAGCCAGAACTTAAGGGCCGCGCCACACAAGGGAACCCGGAGCCGGCGGACGGCGCGGGCTGGGCGGGGCTTCCAGACCGCGGGAGCCGGGCTGTAGCTCGGCTGGGACGCTGAGGGGCGCATCTTTCCCCGCCTCATGCCCACAGAGCCCAGTTTCCGCAGAGGCTGAGCCTTGCCGGCTTCTGGACCTTTCCTCCATTCTCCATTTGCTTCCCCCCATTTACCTCGGCCTCGCTTTCTCTGTAGATCCCTCCTGGCCAGTCTCCGACTCATTCTGTCATAGCTTCTTTTCTTCCGAATTCATTCTCAAGCACATCCTCTGCACGGTAGACAGAACGCTCTTCCTACTCTTAAAAACTGTAATTCCGGGCTGAGTGCTCAGACTGTAAGCACCTGGCTGACATGAGCCTAATTTGCATTGAGATCTGGGTCCCCCTCAGGACATACGCCCATGTTATTTCCCTACCCTGTCTTTGAGACAGACAGAGGCGTGGCTCAGTTATTGCTTCCGTGCCTAAGGTGTGCTGAGGGATTTTGCATTTAGGCGTCCTCTAAGGTTTGTGGGCCCCTGCCTGCTCCTCTGTCCACCGGATGTCTTCAGCATAGTATATGCCTCAGGGAGGTTCTTGGGGGATTGGGGGGGTGAGGTGGGCAAAAAGTGACTTGCTGGGGTGCAGAAATGCCAGTTAGTGGCAGGCCTGAATGGATGCCAACAGGGTAGTTATGGTTCAAAGAGCAAAACTTCACAACATCAATTACAAGTGGGGACACAGAGCTCCCTAGAAGGCCTTAAGCGTATGACTTTTTCTTTTTAGCTTGTGGGTTGCAAGTGGGATAAGGAAGGAAGACTCTTAGAACTGACTTGTCACAGCCTGTTCTGTGAGAGAGTGTGGGTCTAGTTGCTGGTTGTTCTTTCCTGTTTCCTCTTTATATTGGAGGTGGCAGAGAAAGCAACCTCAGGCTCTGGGAATATCTTCACCAATATCAAGGCGCATGGCCTGCAGACTTAGCTCCTGTTTGCTTCAGAATATCTTGCCTCAATGTGGCTAGCCTCAACTGCTCAAAGACCTTGTTATGTTTAAGCAGGCATGGGGTTCTAGGTAAGTAAGACTACAGCCTGACTATTTAGCCATATTTTCTAATCTCCCGCTTTTGGGAAGGATCTGGCCAAGACTTTCCAGGCAGAGGAGTTATCTATCTAGTTGCCCAGTGTGGTCATGACTCAGCTATGGGTTACTGTCCTAGGCCAGCTTAGAGACATGATCTGGGTTATTACCTTCAAGTCTAAACTTAAGTTTATTAGTTTGCTCATTAGTAATGATCTGATGGGTGATCAGATTTTTGCTGGCCTAGTTCTGCTGAACAACTGGCTTTTCAGAGACTTAGAAAGGAAAAGATCAGTTTATTAAAAATTGATGATAAAAGACAGAACTATCAAGAGGAAACCATGACAACCAATACATATTTTGGAGATTTTTCCTTTTTAGTGGAGCCCCATTAAAAATCAGAAGGTTGCTGGGTGGTGGTGGTGCATGCCTTTAATCCCAGCACTCGGGAGGCAGAGGCAGGTGGATCTCTGTGAGTTCGAGGCCAGCCTGAACTACAGAGTGAGTTCCAGGAAAGGCTCCAAAGCTACACAGAGAAACCCTGTTTTGAAAAAAAAAAAAAATCAGAAGATTTTTCTGTGAATGTAAAATCAGAGAGCACTGATAGAAAGAGTCAAAGGGGACGCCTCTCAAGCCTTAGCTGACTGACAAGTCTCTTTTCCCACCCTAACTGTCCCCGGTCTTTACATGTCCCACACATACTTTAAAGGAAATCAATAAATACCATTCCTTTGTAATACCTCGCCTCCTTGTTTCCTGATTTGAAACAGTAAACTGCTGAGACACAGGCCTTGAAAGGTAGAGTGCTTTGGTCAGAGTGTGGTGAAGAGGACATTAGTGACCACTACTGAGCTTCTCTCAGGGGCTGGGATTTAGGGCTCACAGGGAGTGTCCCAGTTTTTCCAGGGGCACTTGTTGAAAGTGTAGTTTTCTGTACTGTGTGAACTGAACTGGAGTTTCATGGTTTGTCCACTAAGTTCCCAAGATGAGTTTTTCATCTACAAAGAGAAGGGTAAATAACAAGCACAGAGAAATGGGAAGACAGGGAGAGGGCCCGCTTCCGTTTCCATCCTTCCTGACTGTCTTACACAGCAGTGCTGGCCCAGATCCTTTATCTTCCTTCCTGCTGCCTCTAGCCTGGCCCCGACCCACTTTTAAGTCTTGTCCAAGCTCCATGCTCGTCCCTTTTGTCCAGTTCTTCATCCCACTGTTTCCCCAAAGTCTAGTGAAATATGTGATATGAGCCGGGCGGTGGTGGCGCACGCCTTTAATCCCAGCACTCGGGAGGCAGAGGCAGGCGGATCTCTGTGAGTTCGAGGCCAGCCTG